TAATTCCTGCCTGATCCCCTGCATCCATACAGCTCCATCTCATATATGAGAAAGCTCACGTGGATCAGGAAAGACCTTGGGACCATACCTGAGAACCCAGTTTAAGGGTTGATTGTGTTGATGTTGATACACTTATATATTGCATGTTGATTTGATACACTTATATATTGCAAAATTATTACTACTGTGTCATTAACTAATACCCCCATCATGCCACATAATTTCTTTTTTGGTGGTGAAAACATTGAAGATCTATTCTCTTAGAAACTTTCATGTATATAATAAGGAATTATTAACTATAATCACCATGCTGTGCATTACATCCCTACAGCTTTTTTATCTTCTAACTGGAAGTTTGTATCCTTTGCCCAATGTCTCTCCATTTCCCCTACCCATAGCCCTTGATAACCACTATTCTAATCTCTATTTCTAAGAGTTCAGCTTTTTTAGACTCTACATACAAGTGAGATCATACAGTATTTGTCTTTCTCTGTCTTATTTCACATAGCATAATGCCTTCAATGTCCATCCATGTTGTAGCAAATGTCAGTATTTCTTTTTTCATGGTCAAATAATATTCCACCACACACACACACACACACACACACACCAATTTCTTCATTCATCCATTGACAGATGCTTATATTGTCTTCATATCTTGGCTATTATGGATAATGCTGCAATAAACATAGGAGTTTAATTCTCTCTTTGAGATCCTATTTTCATTTTTTTTTTTTTTTGGATATATACCCAGAAGTAGGATTACTGGATCATAAGGTAGTTCTATTTTTAACTTTTTGAGGAACCTCCGTACTGTTTTCCAGAGTGGTCGCACCAGCTTGCGTTCCCACCAACCGTCCTGAGAACCCATTTTACAGCTATATTGCCACCTACCAACTTAGAGGAAAACTGGGTTTGTCCGAGTCATTTCAACTGAGTGCTGCTATGCTTCATACTCCCCACTGATTTTTTTTTTAAATAACTACTTGTTAGGCTCCAGTTTGAGAGAAGCAGAATAAAAAAACCTGGAATGTTCTTGCTTGGAATGATAATTGCTCATTAGAACCCCATTTTGTTATAATTGTACAATTCATTATGCTGAGCACTTCATTAGACGCATTGTAAAAATTCTGACAACTTGAATATGTTACATTGAATATCAAAATGAATCTGATTTAGAGCTTTGCTGTTTCTTGAGGGCATTTTCTAATTAATAGAAGTCTGAGAAGACAGAAAAGTGAGAGTCTCTGTATTTTCTTCTGGGGGTCATTATTAGAGATGTGCTTAAAGCAACATAATTTTGAAATAGGAAGCTTTCTTTGGAACAGAAAGAAAAAAATAGCCCATAAACCTGAAATGGTCACATCTGTCTTTATAAATACAAGCTCAGAATTATCTGCAATTAATACCAAACCACATCTTTTTATCATGCTGTTAGGGACTTTTGGGTAAAGATAGCAGATTGAACATTTTCATTTATCTCCCTTTCCTCTTGAAAGCCTAGTAAAATGATGGCAAAGGGGGCTTTTAAGGGGTATAAGCCCACAAGGACAGAGGAAAGGAAGGAGCAGATGGGAGCAACAGAATCCTGGAAAATCCCCAAGCCGACAGAATGGGAAGTGAGAAGCAAACCTACTGTACCTCAGCATTCCCCAAACTGGGGATCTGGTAATTGGAGATCAAGGTGGGGCTCTAAAAGCATCAGCTGAGAGTCTGCCTAGGGAGCTTTTAGATCCCTGGATCTCCTCTTCCCCATTGGCCAGCTGAAGGACTGTTCTTCATCCCCACTGGCACAGGTTGGGAGGTTCCTACCTCTGGAGAGTGTGAAACAGAGAGCCTCTGGACTGGAGGACTCCAGAAATATTGATGGCATGAATACTACAATAAAACAGGGGGATCAAATGGTCACTTACATATCGAATGATGAGCTCCTCCCACCCAGCCCTCTTAGGCTAACGAAATACGGGAGCCAGGCCTAGACCCTGAGCATGAGATTGGGAGGCCCTTGTTTGAGGACTCTGGCCAGCCCGTAGGGAAATACTTAAAGATCATCTTGGAGAGTCCCCAAGAAAACAATCAGTCATGGCAGTGGTTCCACAAACCTGCAGTATCAGCACCATGTGGGCATTTGATAAAAATCCAAATTCTTGGGGTGCCTGGGTGGCTCAGCTGGTTAAGCATTGGACCCTTGATTTCAACTCAGGTCATGACCTCAGGGTGGTGAGACCGAGCTATGGGTCAGGCTCTGCCCTGAGCATGGGGCCGGCTTATGATTCTCTCTCTCCCTCTGCCCCTCCCCTCCTCCCGCCCCACCCCCATTCTCTCTCTCTCAAAAGAAAAATTAATTAATTAAATTAATTGCAAATTCTTGCACCTTGCTCTAGACCTACAGAATGGGAACCCCTAGGGGTGGGGCCCTGAAATCTATGTTCAATAAGACCCCAAGTACACACCGAAGTTAAGAACCACCGTTCTTCCACAAAGCTCACCATAGATGCAAAGTTTCCCTTCCTTACAAATATGGACAATCAAGGATGGGCATATATCAGAAGAAAGAGAACAAAATAAACTGGAAGAAATAACAACCTTGGGGGGAAAAGAGACCATGCAGGAAAAAAATCAAACTTGGGAAAGAGCTAACGTGAATACCCTCAGAGGGGTAAGAAAAAAATATTTCCCTCATGAAACAAGAAGAGGCAGCTATTTTTTTTTTTAAAGAAGGGGTCCTTTAGAAAACAACAAAAATGGGCTTTTGAAAATTTAAAAATATGGCAGTAGAAATGAAGCATTCAACAAAAAACTAAAAAGTAAAACCAAAAGACAAAGAGAATAGGAAGAAAAAAGAAAGATCTAAGGATTAGTGCAGGAGAATGGTTGAGAATTGTTGGTCTAGGATGATGAACATGCAAACAATAAAAATTCCAGGCAAAGGAAGCAGAGAGAAGAAATGCTCAATGAAATAACTGACAAATGTTTCCCAGCATTGAAGAATATACATTCCCAGATGGAAAGGGCCCACCTAATGCCTGGCCAGTAGATGAAAACAGATTCATATCAAGACACATCACTGTCAGATTTTCGAATTTGGGAATAAAGAGATCCTGCACGTTTCCAGAAAGAACTAGGCACATAGTAAGTATTAAGAGCCAGAAGGTCTTCAAGCTTCTCAGGAGCCACTGTGGATCCTGGAGGACAATGGAGCAAGGTTTCAAGAGCCCTCAGGAGATGATTTCCAGAGTAGAATTCCATACCCTGGTAGAGAGTTAATCAAACGTGGGGCCAGAAAAAGCATTAACCAAATACACAAGGGTAGAATAGAGACACTTAAAACCAGGCTCAGTTTTCAGAGCTCTTGGGTCAAGATGTTAAATTTTGTAGGAAGAATTGGATAGTGGTCACTGTTGCTGTACCAACTCTGTTTCACAGAAGCTTCTCGGAGAAGTGCATAAACCAGGGCCTTCGTGACAACTGCTGTTTTGTCCCAGTGTGTCTGTTGTCAACTCCCTTCTATCTGTGCCCCACCTGTGTCCAGAGGGTTCTCTCCCCTGAGCACTTGTCTCCCCAGCCTACCCCTATAACCTGGAGCTAGTGAGCAAACCTTTTTGTTCTCAGTGAGGCTTCATCTTGCCTTAGCTCTGGAATTATTACCTTGTTGGGATGTGGGGTAGAAATCTGGATGTAGGCAGTGAAGTCAGCCCCAGGGTCTTACCTTAAAGCTGCACTTGAAAAATAAGCACCTTCTTAAACATTGAGATTTCATATCACTTTAAATAAAGTTTTTCAAGATGATTTTATTTACTCTAAGCAAAAGGTTAAGAAAATATTAGTTGTCCCTATCAAATGTTATTTTTATCATTTTTATTTGGGGTGGGATGAAGGACTGGTGGAGCCTGGAGCTGCAAGCTCAAGGCCCTCTCTCCGTGGCCCCTTTGTCCTGCATCCTGGGGTGATGGCAGGATCCGAGATAGTCGTCACAAGAGGAAACACTGGAGGTTGTTTGGATGTGCCTTCTTGTTCCTAGGAATGAATCACCTCAGGTCTGGCCCCTTCAAAGTCTCTCTCAGTGAAACTTACCCTTAGAAGCTGCTCCCATAACCTGCCTGGCTGGACTCCTCAGAGTGCAATTGCTGCAACACTGTTCTTCAAAGGACTACTCTTTACTAAAGAGATTTATTCAAAGATCCCTAGATTGGCCAGGGCAGATATTCTGGGAAATAGCCCAATGACATGCTCCTTTCTTTCTCAGCTTCATTGCTCCGAACCTTAAGATGGGGCCCAGATCCAATGACTCTCCGGTGACCTTTTAGTGTAGTGGGGTGATTGAGAGCCTGGGCTTTGGGGTAAGACAACCGTGGGTTCAAATCCTGGCCCCACAAGCTTCGGCATGGGACAAATTAGCCCATCCCAATGGGTGGTTGTGAGGATCAAAAGAGATCATGTATGCAGGGATCAAGCCCATTAAATCCTCAATCAATGATAGATCATTAACAAAATTAACTAAGGACTCTGTAAAATTTCCTCCTACAAGAAAACATTACAGAAATAGTCCCTCTGAGTTTAGGTATCTAGGAAACAAGACAAGAATCCCTAAATTCCTTCATTTATATTCTCACCTTGTCCTCTCTTTGCCCCCCTTATTGGGCTGGGAATACATCTACAGACTCCGTCAAGTTCAAGCTCAGCACAAGCTCTAAATACCCCCTAGCCTGGATTATAAGAAAACTGGCATACCAGATGGTTAAAGAACACTTAAGTGAGAAAGTGAAACACAATTCAAAGCTTTCCCCCGGCCCCTTTCTTCTGGAAGTGTTTCCTTAAGTTGTCTCTAACTTTTACCAGTAGGTAGGATGGTAATAATGATGACAGACATTGTTAGCTGAGTGCTTACTATGTGCCAGAGTCTTTCTCAAGTTTCTTTTCACAGGTTTTACTAGGGTTACCTTATTTAACCTTCACGGGAATCCTAAGAGAGAAGTACATTTGTTATTCTCACTTTGCAGGTAAGACACCTGGGGCTTGCAGATGAGAACTCATTGAGGAAGAAGCAGATACCTACCAGTGCAGCCAATGTGGAAGAGTATCCCGAGAGTTTGAGAGCGTAGCCATCATCCTCACATGGTAGGTTTCATTGACTCTGCCCTTCTTCTCTTTAATGGCTTCTAGAAAAAGTATGGAAAATGGGCAGTTTCCTTCTTACTTCCATGGAGCTAGCAGGGAACCTTCTCTATGTTCAGGGATATTTCTCTATCCTCTGCCTCAATATATGGAGCCATGGAGCAAGAGCAGTTTCATGGGGACTTTGAGACAGACTGTCAGGACTTAGGAAGATTCTAACTCAGCTCTGTTCATTTTTCCATGCTCCAAATCCTTCTGAGGCAAGGATGTGCCTTGGATTCTCTTGTCTTCCCCATAGGTGCCGGACAGCAAAGCAACTATTCCAGCCCTGCCACCCACAGTTATGTACGGTTTGTTTTTCATAAACCTTCTTTGCAAGATTATTCCCAACAGATACATCAGGAAGATGTATCTAGATGATCTGCAAAGTCCCAACTCACTTGCAAAGTCTATTATTCTGCTGTTATATAACGTAATGTCATATAAAAGATAAAGGTACACATCACAAGTTTTAAGGGAATCCAGAAATGTCATTGTGTATTAGCCCTTTCTTGGAATCTCTTTTAGGCGTTGACAGTTGGGGTCACCTTTCCATTAGGCTGCAGAGAAGTCAGAAGGGAAATGACCTTGTGCTGGCTGTCACTGGCTCATTCTGTGGTCAGCTGAGAGCTCCCCTTTGATGCTATCATCCAGCCCAGGCCTGAAGGGTCCATGCAGAGTGGCTGGGGATAGGACCACCCTTAATGGGAATATCGTGGGTAGAGCCTGAGCTTGGAAATCAAACCCACCACGGTTCATCTCCCAGCTCTGCTACTGACTCACATTGTCATCTAAGCTCAGTAGTTTTTTTTTTAATCTGAAAAATGGAGGTAATGTGATAGGAATGGAATGATCCACCTATGTTTCAACACAAGGCGTAATGCCCATCTCGTAATAAATACTGTGTCATTGGTAACTGTTAGTAATTGCACTACTAACAAAGTTAAATTGCCCTGCCTGTTGAAAAGGCTCACAGCATTTGACGCAGGGTTGAGGGGCCACTCTCGTAGACATTGAGGCTTGGATTTTATCAGCAGTGACTCCCACGGACTTGTAAGAACCAAAATGGGAGTAGTCAGGGCCATTGCTACTGTCATAAAAAAAATCATAATTAATTTTGTAAATTTGAATGTATCATTAATTTGAGTTGCCTGTTATTGCCAGTTATAAAGAATTTTTCTGACAGGTAAAGTTAACCAAGAACGGACTGGTGGCTTGGTGTGAGGTGTGAGGGCTCATCGCCACAGCAGGAATGGCTTAAGGGTAGGCCCAAGAAGGACCATGTGGCTAGCACTTAGCAGAGGACGTTGAAGGACCTGGTGATGGTGTGTGTTAATTATTTTACATTTTCTGAGGCTCCAAATGGGCATCACGGGTCTCTAAGCAGCCCTGGCAAGGTATTATTTCTGCTTCAAGTTTCTTTGGTCTTAGAGATGATGCATTAAGTAACTGAGAGTCTATAAATGAACATCAGAAACAAGCCCCCTGATTGATCGACTTTCAGGTTTCCCTTGATGAGTTTTCTTGAAACTTGGTTCCTGGGTATAACTTTATTCATGCAGCTCCCTGGGGAAAGACCACCCCCGTGATCTTTGAGGAGGATAGAGGCAAGGCAGGGGGCAGCAGGGCTACTTACAGATGAGAGCCGACATTTGCAGAGCTGACACGCTACGCCTGCAGAATTAATAAAACGTTCGAGCAAGGAGCAGAGAGGAAGACAAATGGCTGCCAGGCCTGTGCATTTACTGACTCAATGCCAACCCCTGGCCACAGAGCACGGTACACTCAGATGCTTCGGTTGGGTTGCTGGAGTATTGACATAGTCTTATAAACTGACACCCGTCAAAGAAATGAAAAGAAAAAATAAGTTTAGAGGGACATTTACACAGAGGTTTCCCTTGGGTCCCAGCTGCCCCACTGAATGAGCATCAAACCACTGCCCTGGAGCAGGGTCATGAGAATTGGTTTCCCTGGCCTCACACTATGAATGCAGTCCACGTGGGTGCTGCCTGGTTTTCACTGGGAGAAATTTACATTTGATCCCATCCTCACCCCCAGACTTCTGTCCTCCTATGCGCTTTAGTCTGTCATTCTCAGACCCAACTGTTTACAACAACGCCTCCACTGTTCTTTCCCCTGGGGACATGGCTATAAAGTTCCTCTCGTTCAGTCTTTCTTCCATCCCAAGCAAAAACGGCCATTCTTGACTTCAGACTGGCATCAATAAGGAGTTTGGAAGGAAAAAGCTGAGTGAACGCATTCACACTAACAAGCAAATAGCTGATAAGTCCTTGGAGCAGTGCTAACTCTTTTTGTAAATTCAAGTTTCCTAGTTTTATAATTTTGGGGTTTAAAGGCTAACCTCTTGAATGGTGGCATTTCCTTCACTAAGACCAACAGCAGAAAGTTTTTACATCTTAAGACTTACCTCCCTTCCTTGTGCTCCTTAATCTGATAGTAAGGAAATGTGGCATCTGGGACTAGCAGATGATCTTGTCAACCTCCAGTATTCAGAGATCCGTAGTCAGAAGAGATGAAAATCACGGAGGCCTCTATATGGACATACAAGAAAGGCTTCAATCCCATATAGGGTCCTTGCATTCCCAGGTCCGATCCCGGGGCCTCCTGAGATGGGAAATCTCAGGAATGGGCTGAAGTGATCTTCTCTCAATGCCAAATTACGAGCTGCTTTTGTCCTTCAAGAGTATTGGGGAAAGGAGGAGAGGTGTACCCCTTAATGATGGCATTTTGACATTTGCATAATAAACAGCTTATTAAATATGGTTTGCTGTATGTTGCGACTATTCTAGAGGCTTTCATTCATTCATTCAGCAAATATTTATTGAGTGCTTCCTATGTGCCAATCTAAATGCTATTTATCCATTCATTTATCCAATGCTTGACCTCTTATGAGTCAAATATTGCTATAAATACTTTTCATTCATACATTCATTCATACATACATTCATTCATTCATCAACAAGTACTTACTAAGCACCTCCTGTGTGCCAGGCATTGATTTATCCTCTATAGCAGTGAACCAAACAGAGCCTCTGCCTTTATGGACACGGCACTCTATTGGAGGTTGCCAGGCAATGCACAAAGAAAGGAGGAAAAATACAGTATATCAGATGTTATGAAGTCTTACCGAGAAAAAGAAAGAAGTTGAGGGCAACAGACAGCACAGGTGGTAGAAGTCGCTGTATTTTGCCCTCATCGGTGAGGTGGCATTTGAGCAAGGAAGGGCGCCATGACAAAGTCAGTCAGAGGAAACCCCGGTACAAAGACCCTGAGGTGTGACCATGCTTGGCAGACCGGAGAAAAAGCAAGGAAAGAAGGAATGGTGTGAACAAGAGGGAGAGCGGTGCGTGAGGTCTGAGGTAGCTGGGAGAGGGACTGCCTAGGGCCTTACAGGGCTCTGGACCCACAGAGGCTTCACCTCTGACTCGGACGAGAAACACAGCAGAGAGCTTTGACCACAGGAATGACTTGTTTAAAAAGCAGCCTCCGGGGGCGCCTGGGTGGCACAGTTGGTTAAGCCTCTGACTCTTGGTTTCCACTCAGGTCGTGATCTCAAGATGGTGATTTCAGGGTAGTGATCTCAGGGACATGAGATTGAGGCCCTCGTCGGGCTCCGGACTCAACACAGAGTCCGCTTGCGACTCTCTCTGCCTCTCCCTCTGCCCCTCCTGCTTATGCTCTCTCTCTCAATCTCTCACATAAATAAATAAGTAAATCTTTTTTTTTTTTTTTAGGTAAAAAATAAAAAAATAAAAGCAGCCTCCAGCTGCCGTGTTGAAAAGACTGGAGAACATCAGCGTGAAAAGCCAGGAACCAATTCAATGGCTAGTACAGTAATCCCGGCAAGGAGGGCAGGGCGCTGTGGTCTGTGGAGACAGCAGCGGAGGTGAGAAGTGCTCAATAGCTGCTGCTGTTGGGAAGGGAGCGTCCACGGGATTTGCTGATGGATTGGCTATGATACGTGAGAGGAAGAGGGACATCAAAGAGGACTCCAAGCATTTTGTCCCGAGCAACTACAAGGCTAGCGTTGGCATTTACTGAGATGACAGCAATTGCCAGCGGGAACTATTTGGGGCAAGAGGTGGAATGGGAAGCTCCGTTTCGGGTATCATTGAATTGGAGAGGCTCATGACCCCTCAAAGTACAGAGCTTGAGGTGGGTTTCGGGGTGTCAGTCTGCAGGTTGAGGGAGGAGTCCGGGCTGGCAAAGAACAGAGGGTAGAGAGAACATTTAGAGTCACAGACCAGGCAGATGAACTGAGTGTGAGTGTGCTTAGAGGAGAAGTCCCAGCACTAGCTCTGGGCCTGCCAACGTCTAGAAAATGAGGAGGAATCCTGAATGGAGGTAAAGAGGTAACTAGTGAGGTAGAAGGAAAACCAGAACAAACTGTTATCCTGGAAGCCAAGCAAAGAAGTACTCAAGAAAGGGGGAACAGTCTATTATCATTATTATTTCCATTTTACAGATGAGAGAACTGAGGCCCCGAGAGCAGCTCCGGAGGACAGGCCCTTCATCACTTCTCCGCATGCTCTGGGCCGGACTCTCTCAAACTCACCCAAGGCTGTGGACTCTCTCAAACTCACCGAAGCCCACTGGCATCTTAGGACAACAGATACTAGGTAACGGGGATAATGGAGTAAAGAGAAGGCAGTCTCGCCTCCTGACACCCCCCAATCCATCTTTGCTTTTGGAGAGGCAGGCTAGCTAAGGCAGCCCCGTGGGCTGGACAGGAAAAGGTACCCTTTGCTTTTTCAGTGGCACCGTATGTTTCTAGAAGTCAATTCGGAATCATTAGAACATGCTAAATATCCTTCCAGGAAAGAGGTGGCATTAAACTGTCATCAATAATGATGATGACAATGGATAAGTTTTGGGGCTTACAGAGGGATGTCTTGCTGTGAGTTCCATGTTCACCTAGACTTATCCATGAATCTGCATTCCTGTCCTTATTAAAAAGAAGGCAATCAGGGGGTGGAGAGGGACACCTGAGAAGAAGCTGGAAGAGCTCCAAAGATGTGTGTTCATGTTTCTCAGGTCTTCTTGGGGCTGGCCTTTCCAGTAGGACAGAAGGCAGTGCTGGACTCCTGGCTGAAGTCTACAGCGACCTCGGTGAGCCCCCTTGTTCTCCTGCTCCTTTGGGAAGGTTCTCCATCTTGCTCTTTTGGAGCCAGGGCAAGGCAGGACCACCCAGCATGCTGGTGGCATTTACACTTTCCAGGCTTGGGAGAGAGAAGTCAGCCAGCTGGGTGCTCCGCTTCTGTGAGTGCACAGCCTGGGATCAGTGAGTTTGCTTTGGCATTGAACTTTCAATCTGAGCATTTGGAGCAATTCCTAAAGGCTCTCCCAGTGGTTGCATGAGTATTCTCCTTACAACTATTTGTTCAACTATAATCACTTTTCTCGTTGTTCCCAAACTGGAGCACTTTTAATATCTCTCATGCGAAAGGAAGAATCATGGTTATTCTGCTAGAGACAGAAGCCAAAGCTCAGAGACGTGGAATGACTTGCTCTCGATCACACAGCTAGGCTTTAGGAAACACCAGTTCTCTTCGTTCTGAGAAATTAGCTCCTGCTACCGTGCCCCCCAAGTAATGCCTGGCTGTTCCTTATTGATTAATTCAAGTGATAAATCAATGGAAGGGCAAAAAGTTCAAGCCACCAACATCAAAGGGATGAGAGCTGACATGTGCCTCCAGGAAAGTTGATATGACTAGGGTCATTCGAAGATCTAGTTTCTAGAAGAGCTCATTTAGGCTATTAGGAAAATGTGAACCTACTCTTTATCTGCAATGAGCAGGATTGGGAGCTGGTGAGCAGAGTGCGAGGGGGCTCTTGGTGACCTGTTTCAGGACAACCTTCCCTGACAAAGTGATGCTTAGAGAGAAATCTGCTGGAAGTAGGGATGTGTTCCCACTCTCTAGAATTCCTTAATCATTTCTTCTAAAAGATATTGGTTCTATGGCAGGTTGTAAATATTTGGAACTCATAACTTAAATATCTGTTGCTTCTGCCGTGGCCAGCATCTCGTAAGCAATCAAATTTTTGTTGAATGAATGCGGATGACTTGTGCTAAACTAATACACTGATGATCCATTTAAATTTTTAAAGACTGAAGTAGTAAGCTAAAATTAGTGAGTGAAAATATAACAGGAATAAATGTAGAGCCATGCATTTCGTTTCCAAAAATTCAATGGGGACGAGAGAGACAAGAATACGTCTTTCAACAGCAGTTCAAATGAAAAACACTTAGGAACTTTAGTTTACAAGTCAGTAGAAACCAGATGTATGAAGCACGTACTAAGGAGCTGATGTGATACTAGGCTGTTTTAATAGAATAGTTTCTAGATCAAGGCTGGACATCATTACCCTGTGCTCTCAGGTGATTAAACCTTACCTAGAGTATTGGAATTGATAATCAGGTGTCACATCTTAAGGACATAGATAAGCTAGAACATGTTCCGAGAACAGCGTGTAGGGGGCTAAAATTCTGAATGGCATGACATACTATGCCTCAAAAGAATTGAGAATGTTTAGTTAGAAGAAACAACCAAAAGCAACACAAAGATTGATCAGATGATACTTTGAACTTCATACAACTTTTAAGGCTGTGAAGCAATATACATAATGTACCATCCAAGGATTTGCAATAGTCAAAAGTGGTATCCCCCACACAGAAGTCCCCACTTCCAGCACCCAAAGCAAGATTCAGGGTATAAGTTGGGATGCCCTACAAACCTCATAACAGGGAGTTTAAATTATCCATACCCACAAATAAAGATCATACGTGTTATTTTCCCAAATAATCATTGTCTTGTCAGAAATGCCAGGAAATTCCACCAATAGATATTTTTCTATTGCCTCAAATCATTAATAAGAATTTTGACTGCAATAAAAGTAATAAAATAAATAAATAAATAAGTACCCCTTCTCTTTTGACAATGATTTATTAATATCTACTCACAAAGGAGCCTTTTCTGTTTGGGTACAGGTTTTCAATCACATATGAGTTTACCAAACAATATTTCATTCAATGAATATATTTCTACCTACTTGTAAGGAACTTTAGCCAATGCCTTACTCTGTCTGTGAATTCCCCTTACATGCCAGGATACTAACGCTATGAAAAAATAATGAGTTTAGTGTTGCATGACTTGCTTCTGTGGACTCTCAGATCCTTATTTCCTAAGGAGCCTCAGTTCCTTTATTTAATATTCAATTCTAGAATTTTGTCAGGAAATAACAATCCTCCTGTTTCTTTTTTGAAATCTGGGAGATCGTCTTCTCTGTGACATCTCAAAGATTATAGCAAGGGTTCTGGGATCTGTCTCTAATTCTTCCCGGACACTGTAAGATCACCTCTGGGCTGGGGAGGGCAACACTCATGTAGTAGAGGCAGCTTTGTGGGGGGCAGACAGGTCCTGTTGCTGGTGATTGCCCAAGGCACCATGCTGGTAGGGTTCTTAAACCTTCTCGAGGCTTGGCACAAAATCGTACGTCATGCAATGGCAAGGTCGGTCCTTGGCCTCAACAAGAGGAGTGTCTGTGTCAGAAGGCCATATCTCTGTTCTGGAGCTAGATGTTTTCTTGCTATTTCTTGACCATCCTAAGCTTGCTCCTCCTTAGAGGCATCTTCGTCTTACCCCTTGCCCTTTGAAGACTTTTTGCATTAAGTGATAAAATTGAAGAAAAATAGGAGGTGATTCATGCTATTGGTTATTAGTTGTGAGTCTTTGAACAAGTTGCTTAACCCTATTTTATAGTATTCAACTTAATTTTTTCTTAGGCTAAATTTAGGTAGTTGTGACCATCCATACCTCCTCAGTCTCCTTAGCTTCTCTTTCTGTCCGTAGAATCAACCAAAGTCACTTACTAGTCTTTTAAAAAAAATTTGTCATGGCTTATTTTTTCCAGTTTTATTGTGATATAATGGACATACAACATTGTATTATTCCAAGATGTACAACATAATGATGTGATATACGTGGATATTGCAAAATGATTGCCACCATAAGTTTAGTTAACATTAACCACATCACAGAGATAACAAGTGTTGGGAAGGCTGTGGAGAAAGGGACCCTCACGCACTGCTGGTGGGAATGCAAACCGGCATGGCCACTGTGGAAAACAGGATGGAGGTTCCTCCAAAACTGAAAAATAGAACTGGATCTGGCAATCCCACTTCTGGGTATATATCCAAAGGAAACAAAATCACTACCCTGATGAGATACCAGCACTCCCATATTCATTGCAACCTTATTCACAATAGCCAAGACATGGACACACTAGGTATTTTTTTTAATTTTTTTAAAAGTTTTAAAAAATTTTTAAGGTTCCTTCCTTTAAAAATCTTTTTTTTTAATTTTTAAAAAAATTAAAAAAAAATTTTTTTAATTTTTAAAAAAATTAAAAAAATATTTTTTTTAAATTTTTAAGGTTCCTTCCTTTAAAAACCTCTTAAGACTCACTCTCACAATCCCGTGAGGCCAACTCTTTACTCCAGATCAGATTCTCACCCTCACCTCCCCCTTTGGTCTCAAACCCTTGGGTTGGGCTGTAGTTCCCCAGCGTCTTTTGCCAGGAACGTGGGCAGTCCCTGTGCTTTCTGCCTATGGTCTCAGGCCAATCACCGTTCACTCCTATCCTGCCCTTTTTCTGATACCCCAACCCAGGCTGGACAACCCAACTTCCTAGAGCTGGAAGGTCAGAGAGTAACTGTTCAACGTGCAATCACTCAAGCGAGAGCACTTACAAACCTCAAAATGGCTCCATTTATAAAAGTCTCAATCCTAACATGCACAATACATTTTAAGACAGCATCAATTCAAAAAACATTTTCAGGGGGAAAAATAATAAATGGGCACTTGGATTTACAAGACATTGGATTTCAGAAATACTAAATTTTTTTTTAAAAAATGTGTATCTTAGAATTGGAAACCTGGATATTCTCTGTGAACATTCCTGCCAGTTCTTCGTGTGACGCGTTATTGAAGAGGGTGGATTTGGTAGGAGGAAGTCAGGAAACAGCTCTGTGCTCCTCCCACTGTGGCCTCCCCTAGGCCAGTTCCATCAGCTCCGCCTTCCCCACGCCTGGTGTCATCTGGAGCAGATCCCTGCACTCTGGTCACTTTCAATCATCAGAAAGTCCAGCACAATCCAATAAA